TCTATTCCTTCTGGTTTTCTAGCTTTTTAGAAATTTGCAGCAGATATAAATAAACTCAAAAATAAAAAAATCAAAACCCTAGAACAAGACTGGGAACATAACAACCAGCAGAAGCACTGTGTGAATCCTCTGAACTACTTTCATAAAGATCAGCATATTGCTGTGAAAGACTTCCTACACTTTCTAGCTCCAGACCATGCTGGAGGGTCCCTGCCAGCCCAAAGAGTGAGGAACACCTGCTGCCAAGCACAGGTATAGGCACACAGCAGAACATCCATGACCTTGGGCTACAGTTCCTGAGGCAATTTCTTTATCAACCTCATTCATCAAAGGCACCTAGGGCACAAGAGATGTGCAGGGCTGGTCTGCATGGGCCCAATGTTCCACTGCCAGGCAACAAAGGCACTTAAACCAACCATCATATCTGGGACACTGCACCCACAGGCTACATCCCCAGCTGTTACAGATCAATGCAAACACAGATATTTTTTTTTAAAGGCCAGAGGGACTTTCAGGTCATCTAAACTGTCTTTTTATATAAAACAAACTGTAGAATTACATTCAGCTACTATAATGCAGAGCCCAGTTACATGTGCTGAACAACCATTATACCACTCACTTCAGTGGTGCTACACAAGCTCATATAGGATGAAACACTGCTCTATGACGTGCAACAGCTTGAATCTGCTTCCTAGCATTGCTCTGCAGACTCAGTGTAGCAAAGTCTCATCCCTATAGATGCAGGGAAGAGGCAACAGCCAGAAGCTATTTAGTGACCCACAGAAGAGTGATTGCTGCAGCAACACATCTGCAGCACATCATCTGCCACTGCATTCGTGTACCGACACAAAAGAGAATGCTTCAGACACATACAAGATGCTTTAGTCACATAAGCAACCAGAAAGCAGAAGGTTGGAAAACAATGCAACATCAGTGAATCCTGAAGGGGAGCAAGCTGATAAATATGTAAATTGCATTTTCTCACCACCCTGAGGCAGTAGGATTTTGTTACCTGTTTTGGGATTGATTACAAAGAAGTTTTGGGGATTTCCACTCGTAATCCGGTAGGTCAGTTTTTCATTAGTGCTGGAATCAGGGTCCTGGGCTTGGATCTGAATGACGGATACATCTTTTGGAGAGTTTTCCATGACGACTGGGTAATAGATAGGCTCAGAGGTGAGAGGGGCATTGTCATTCATGTCTTCCACTTCAATGTAGACTTCGATGGTAGTGTAGAGTGGGACGACACCATGATCAGTTGCATACACTGTCAACCAGTACGATTTCGTTGTCTCTCGGTCAAGAATATCTGCTGTGTAGATAACTCCTGCAGAAAAACAACAAGGAGAGGATGTCAGGAATAGGATCAATGAAATATCACATCTATTTTGAGTACTACAGAAATGTGTTCAGCATACAGCAAATGTTCCACCCTTATAAAAATTCAAGTTGTGCATAAAATGAAAACAAAAACTTGAACTCAGGAATTGTTTTGTGAACCCAGCTCAACATCTCAGTCCTTTGAACCAAGAAATTGAGGGGGGAAAGGTAAAAAGATGGTTCTTCATAAACATCTTAATGCCACAGCCAATTCTTTGCTAGAACTGCAGCTGGCTGAGTAACAGAAGAAACACCTTAATTTTCTGCTTGTGATGCAAACTTATATAAACCTTAGTAGAGACGGATACCACCACTGATAATGAATTGTATAGAGAAAAGTGGCTTTTCTTTTCAAGCTTCTGCTTCTGCCCTTTCTGAAAAAGAAAACCTAGGCGACAGTTTAAAATAAATCCATCCAAGTTCAGAAAATAGATGGTACATTGAATAATGAAATCGCTCATTGCACAATGCCAAAATCCTGGGTAACAAGCTGTCAAAAGCTCACACAGCACAAGCCCTTAGACAATGAACATATCTTTTATCATGGGGGAAGAAAGGGTTTGGTCACTTTACCAACTGATGTAAGAGAACATCAGCTGGTTTCCTAACTGGTCTTAAGAAACCGTGAAAGAAAGAGTGGCTTTTTGTGTATAACAGAGCCACAGAGAGGCATCCAAGTACCACCCCCATGCCCCTATGGTTCCTGCCATGAAGGAATTCCACCCACTTCATTACGGCCTAAAATGATTTAGAAATCCATTCTCCTCTTGACATGAACACCTGGTTCTTGTCTAGTAGGAACCAGATGATCTTTCAGGTCCCTTCCAACCTAAACCATTCTCTAAGATAAACCAGAAACTCTTCCTACCATGATACAGCCTGCTCATATTGGCACAGTCCAAACCTTCACTAGCTTGACCACTGGCCATGAATGCACAGAGGACTAAATACACCAGTACCCCACACACAATCACATCTGAATCACAATATGCAAATGTGCTTTCCCACCACTTCTGTGACACATATGTCGAGAACATATTCCTCTCCTAATACAGCATTATCTAATCTTGGGAGACACATTAATGCAGTGGATCACAAACTTGAGAAATACTCAAAAGGACAGTTTGTAGACCATTAAGTCATGCCATTAGTAGATAGAAAATGGTGGAGAAGTTGCAGGGCAAGACAGGAGCACAAGAAACACGAATATATTCTCAGGTGTGTTTGAGGATATCTAAAACACAATTATCAGTTAATAATCGAGGACAGAGATGCTCTAAGGTCAGAACTAATAAGGGACAGGAGTGGTTTTTTTTTTTCCAGTGTCTTTAAAGACACTGGAATAGGCAGAGAGGTGTTTCAGGCAGACTTTGGGCACTGCTAAAGAATCTGCAGGCTCTGTGCTCAGCACAGGCTGCCAAGAAGGGATCCTCCTCACCTGTCCTACCGGGAATATTACTTAATGGAGTATGTAAAGTTCAGATGTCATTTATCTGATTATTCCTCAGTCTCAGTCTTACAAGTAATACATCAGATCTGGCTTTTTAGATTATCCCAGCAATTAATTCCTTTATGACACTAGATTCAGAGAAGACCTTTGGTTTAAAAGTTAACTGGCAGTCTATTCCATTTCTTTAAGAGCAGCCATGAAACTGCTGGCCCTGTACCCCTGAGACATCAGCAAAAGGGCCATTTGATGGCCTGATAGAGCTTCTGCTGTCGAACAATATGAACAGCCCTGGTGCAGGCCTCCCTGGACATTTCACAGCAGAACATATCTATAGTGAACTTTACTGACGAACTTACTTTGTGTTTATAAGAGGTAGTAGCAAGAAGTGAATGATGTAACTTCTATCCTAAGGGATGACCACCCCTGGGGTAAGACAGAGAAGCCCACCAAATCAGAAGGGATGCTGCCTGTTTCCAGGGAGTCAGGCAGTGGTTCCCAGCATCCCCTATTCAACTGCACTCTGGGCAGGAGGCAGTACAGAACCCACTACACAGTTACAGAGATGCCACAGGTATTTGCATTTGTCTTATAGGATACATAAAAAAAACCCCAACCCAACAACAATTTTTTTTTCAAGTTTTGAATTTTTTATTATGTTTTTGAATGCTAGTTAGAACTGAAAAGTATTTTCCTGCCATTTGAACAGTCACATAAGAAAGGAAGGGGAAGAGAGCAGTACTGATTCCAGTCATGCACAGGCTTAGGTCTTTTACTAGTAACCTCAGATACATGTACCTCTTGCTCAGATGCATTACTCACTCAACGAAGGTGAGCAGTGCAGCACTGGGGGACAAAGGCAGAGTGTATTCTAAATATTCTTGTCGGCAGCAGCCTGTGCTATGTAATGAGTTTCTGTAGAAACATGGGTGAAATATGTAGTGATCTGTGATGAAAATGCCCAGAAGTCCAGAAGAGAAATTACATCGCAGGGATGAGAAGAGCCCATAACAAATGACACCTCATGGAAACAAATAAATAAAATAAAATCCACATGGGCAAGAACGATGCAAAAAAGATGAATATTAGTGATCCTAGAGATGCTGATCTATTCAGAAGACAAGAAGAGTTATTTTAATGTTCAAAAAAAATTGAAATATGTAGGGCTTTCCCTCAGTGAGAGCACAGAAGATTTTAGCAGATTAACCTATGTTTATGAAGCTGAATTTCACTGATACTGAGGTGATAATAAATGTATATTCTGAGTCATTCCTTCATTTTATAACTCCTGGCAACAGTTACTTTTCATTTCTGCATTTCAGAAGGACAGGGTCATTGAACAAATTGTTAACAACTGCCAACAGGTCTGCTACACTGGTTCCTTTTACTTTTGATTTATTAAAAGGTACCAGATATGAATTAATTCTTTTTCCCCAATATGTCTTGTCATTTCACCTGTCACCACATAGCAGCTTGATAAATAAGTTTTTTTGTTCGCTTTCAGGTTTTCCACATGGAAACCTTTCCATCACCCTGGGAACACCTTCCGCCACACTCTTAACTATTCTGCACAAAATGACTCCTTGCTGTATGTCCAAATATGGGAATAAACTAGTACCCACAGGAATACACATGCTGCCCGAATATTTAACCAATCTCCCCACACAGGTATGGCTGACACCTTCCAGATGCATGTCAAATGTCACCTCTATATGAGGTGTTAACCCTTAAGACTATTGATGACACTTGATCATCATCACTGCTTCTTTATCACTAAGGCATGAATGCAAAGAGGCTGACAGAGCTGGCATCAGGAGCTGCAAAATATTCCCTGGGGCAAGCCACAGGCTCTCACTCACTTTAGTTGAGTGAAAGGATGGAGATAACCTCGGATAAGACCATAATAAATTCAGAAAACACATCACTTACTTCAAAGCTTACATATATATATCAACAGATAGTACAGAAAGACACAATTTTGTTTTCAGGACCAGGAGAGCAGAGGGGAGGAGAGGCCTTTGGGAGCACCTCCAAGGCTTTTCTTGGAAAGCTTTTGTGGTGCACTC